TTCACTGCCTGTCCAAAAAAAAGGTCACCCACTGTAATATTTCGTTGGGCCACCTTTAGCTTTGGTTACGGCGCGCATTCCCCATCATTTTGATAAGCTCATACAATATCACAACATTCATATTAGACATGTGCACCAGCAAAAAATGTGTTTAGTTCCGTTTCGTTTTGATTCGGATTTTGCTTTATTTCGTTTTTCGGAATTTGGGTCCGAAAGTCAAATCGTTTCGGAATTCGGATTCGGACGAAATTCGTTTGCGGAAATCCGTACGAACTTTCGTTTCGTTCGTTCGTTGCAGCAAAGTGACATTTAAGAGGGGAAAAAAAACGTTTTTTTTTTGTTCTCGAATGTCACTTTGCTGCAATGAGATTTCGTCCAAAAGACGAAAGTTCATCCCAAAAAAACGAATTAGAAATTCGGATACGTTTGCATTCGTTATATCTGTAATTCGGAATTCGGATACATCCGAATCTCCAAATTTCCGAAATTTCGTCCGAATTTCGATTCGGAACGAAACGAATCGCACATGTCTAATTCATATCCATCCAGAGCTGCATTAATGTTTCACCAAGATCTTGTAGTGATGATGGGAGAGTCTGACCACTGCGTACAGTCTTCTTCAGCACATCCCAAAGATTCTGAATGGGGTTAAGGTCTGGACTCTGTGGTGGCCAATTCATGTGTGAAAATGATGCCTCATGATCCCTAAACCACTCTTTCACAATTTGAGCCCGATGAATCCTGGCATTCTCATCTTGGAATACGCCTGTACCAGTGACATACCAGTAGCCATAGCAGCCCATGCAGTTGCTATGGGGCCTGGGATAGGAGGGGGGTCCCCCATTGGAAAATATGTTCTTAAAAGCTAAACTGTGAAGTTTCCAGTATAGAAGAGCTGAACTCAGACATCAGGATCCTCTTAGCCACAGACCCCACTGTGCTGTGGCATCTGCTTTGCAATCTTAGCAGTATGACTTCTGAACTTGTTCTACAGACTGAAATTAACCCTGTATGTCTAATGCAGTCCAACATCCCAGAGTGTCCTCTCAGCTAATACCTGATCAGACAGCTGAAGATGCGAGAGTTAAAAGAAGTCTGTATTGGAGTAATTGTGTGAAAAAGCACTTATAATTTTGGCAGAATAATAAATGTCATGATGAGTATTATTATTATTACTACAACTACAGCACTGGTACCTTGTAGTGTACTGGCCAAGGTAAATTGAAATCTCCCTGTCACTGCGATAGGGACTGTTGGGAAATCTGACATTTCTGAGGTAAGGGTAAATCTTACAATGAGGACACCTGTTCACTGACAACTAGATGAGAGAGGATTTCCCCTCAATTTGTGGAGACCTTCACTTCCTGTTGAATGTCTTGGGCAGGAAATGAAGGAACCCTTTCTTAATTTATCCAAAACAAAAAAAAGTTATTGGTGATTATTCTCTTTACAATTATTTATAAAGCGCCAACACATTCCGCAGCGCTGTACAATTGTTTAGACAGGTAAGAAACAATGACAAGCATTATTGATATACAGAAACAGTAGGTGAGGAGGACCCGGCCCAAACGAGCTTAGAGTCTAAGACAAAGGGCACCTGAGACACAGATACCACCATGCTAGTCCTGGTACAAGTACTTCTGCTATCACTCTCTGGGAAGCAATAGGATCACAGCTAACAGATGGTACTTCTACAGACCAGTACATAAAATATAATTATAGAAACACGCAGCAGAAAATAAAGACATGATTTTTTTATTTTATTTTTTGCCCGTCGAAACACCCAAAAAGTGAACCAAAAACACACAAAAAAGTGCACAGAAGGGGTGCAATCTAAAGGGTCTGTCTCCCAAAGAGACAGGGCCCATCCCTGATCCCCCAGGGCGCAAGGCTCCTGACGAGGACAAGGCATTCGTGTACACCTGGCCGAAACCAGGCGGACCCATTTCTCGTGTCCAGCCGAAGCCGACAAGCTAGTACAAGGTTGAGGGCTCTCCCGAAGGGAGACCCCCGATTCAGGGGAGGAAGGAACCTGAGGGCCACACATCCTCCCCCTAGACTTCAGGCTAGGCCCGAAGACCCACACCCTCCATCCTATGGAGTGAAAAACACATAAAAAATAGTAAAAGGTGCACATACAAGTGAGAAAAATTAATTTAGAGTGCCAGAGTGCAATACAATGGCTAGGCCTTGCGGCCCGGTAATAAAAATTACCCCTGGTCTCAGCCATAAGGCCTAGCCCAAGAGGCGATGTGCAGCAAAAGGTGTCGTGGCCAAAGTACTGTTCACACAGTGGGGTCCCAAAACTATAGTGCTACCAGGGCACCCCTGGGTCACCACTCCAGGGGGCTTGAACACCCCAGGCTTCGTGTCTCCTCAGCCCATGGCCAGACAAGGTAGACCCGTCCAAATCAGGAGGAATTGGGCCCTGCCAGATACCAGCACTCAAGGAGTACTCCCAACCCCCACTCTATAAGTGAGTGGACGCTTGCTTCGGTTTCCTCCCCATAGCCAGGACCTTTTAGGGACCCCCATCACAAGGCAGGGTACTCAGATTCCTGCCATACCAGACATAAGGCCAGTACAGCGGCTCCTTTCCCCTCCTGCAACTGATAAGAACAGATACTACACTTGATCTTAGCCAGAAGGCAGAGAAGCGATACAGAAGTAAATAAAGACACGAAGACCACTTCATATAAACAATACATTGACTCCTTTTTTCATTCAAGGGTGTGTTTAATGTTATTTTCCTCTTACAAACTTGTGTTCTGCTCTTGGGAACTTTGTAAGCACGCTTATATTGGCTCGATGGAGGGACATATATCTCTATTTCAGTTCAGCCCAGGAGAGCAGACTCCATGGATCCGCCTAGATGATTTCAGCCCTTTAGATATCACACACTCTGTGATGTGTCAGACTGCGGCTCTCCTCCAATGGGACTGACCTTGGGGAGCTGAATTATGGCGGCTCTCTGTTGCACGTTCTTATAGCATAAATCAGAAATGACTCCATGTCTATTCAAAGATTTATGTTACTAGTTCTTGTTGTTGAAAAGATTTTCTGTTGTAAAAATCACAAATCGTTTTTTCTGTCTGGGAGGCGCAAATCTTTTTAGATAAATAAATGTTGAAAACCAAACGTTATAAGCATATTTTGCTACATTTTAATGGAAAATATTCAGTTTATTTTATTTGATTTTTTTACTGTATCAATTGTCTGAAAGTTGCAATGTGATTATCATATTTATCTATATACAGCTGTTGTTCCCTATGTTGATTTATTTATATAATAATGTGTGAATGCTCCCTATGGTGGTCATTTGTATATTAAGTATACTGTATATGAGACTCTGACCTGTGTGGGTGACCTTTGCCAACTGGCTCTTTACATGATTGACAGGTGGTTGAGGCTCATGGTAATCTATGTTGGTTGGGGTTTGTGTAGGAAGCCCCTGGGGTGAAGCCTAGCCTAGGGTTGGGGGTGAGAGTTAGGCAGCATGTGAGATGGTGTCTGCAAGTGATATAAGACAGTCCTGTGCTGCACTGGATGCACAGGGTCCATGATGGAGAGGAGTCAGTGCCTAGCGTAGCATACGCAAGTTGTGGCTCATTGATGATCAGCCAGAAGACATCCCATTAGGTCCCAACATGGTCCAACCCATAGACATTAACTCTGCAAGGGACTGAATTGCTCTGTATTTGCACAGCAATTACCTACCAATAGAGGGATCATTCTGCACAGTGGGATTCAGAATTTTTCTACCTTGAAAAAACTGGGCAAGCAAGGCCGAAGACCAAAGTATAGAGTGGGCTATTCTGTTCTACACATTTAGTAAATACATTCTTAGTAATGTAGAGTTGTGTATATTTCCAGCATCACCAATCCAGCACCATCATCCCTTTTTATATTACAAGTGTTTCATAATCAAAGGAAACCCAACATGTTGGCTGCCATTGCTGACCTCTCCTCCTGAAAATGCTGGTTGTCATGCTGACCCTCTTACTTAAGGTATAGCTCCATTTGTGTTGAGAAAAAAACAATCCATATCCACAATATTATAAAATTTTGTTGCAGTTTCTGACCTGCTTCTGTTCTGAAGAAAAAGCTCTTTGTTTCACAATGTCCATTCCAGACTAATTCCTGAATGTGAGGGTCGGGGTCATTATAACCAACTGGTGGATTTTCTGTGTTCTAATGCGGAGCGTTGCAGTGTCGGCGTCCCTTTAAACTTTAAGGTTTATATTGCCAAAAATGACATTTCTATTGCAGGAGGTGCTTAAAGCTTTACTTGTGTCTTAGTGCAGACTTCTGGGAAAATCAGCCAGCCAATCACACAAGCATGGAATTACATTTCTGGGGTCTTTCCATACATCGACTGTGTAAAGAACACCTCCAGGTTGATATTGCATTGAATTTTTAATTGCCTTTGATTTTGGAACGAATGGAGATTCACAAACGAAAACCGCATTCACTGTTAGAGTTTTGTTCGGTCAAGGTAAAATTTTCCATCCCGCTCATTTGAATCACTGTGGTCAAAAATAATCATCACTTTGATCCCATTAACTAGTAGAAAATTGAATGTACTTTCCAAATATTATTTTTTTAGAAGGAAGCTCTTCTGGTGTACGACCAGCTTTAGACTGTCCCATTTGAACAGGGGTAGCCAAACTTCATCCCTTCTGCTGTGGTGAAACCACAAATCCCATCATGCCGCTGCCTCTGGGGGCCCT